CTTTAAAACCTGTTCAACCAGCGATTTGAAATTTCGCCCATTTAATCAAGACACACGAGTCTCTTTCTGCGCCAGAATGCAGCGCAATCGGATGAAAGACTGATTTTCTGAGAATTTTTGAAAGTTAGGCCAAAAGCGTTAACGGTGAAAACTGGAAGTCAGCAGAAAAAAATCGAAGTTTCAAAACCTGCTGGAGCAGCGACTTGAAATTTGACTGATTTCATGAAGACACACGACAGTCTTTTCACACCAAAGTACAGACAAATTGGAAGAAAGAGTGATTTTTCAAAGATTGTTAAAAGTTAGACTCAAGCGCGACTAAAATGAAAAAAGTGTTAAATCCTGTTCTCCATATTGACTTCTGTTTGGCAGTAAAATCGTCCGGGTAAAAATCACAGTCCGTCGGCCTCTTTCGGTGAAAAAAAAATCAAAATAAAGAAATCTCGTCAGGAGTTTGGAGCCAAAAACGCCAGAGTGGCACTTGGGATCTTTGTTTTGCTACTGAATGTATTTTCGCTCGAATCATCGATCGACATGGACAACTTCCTGATTTCAATGTGTTTCTGGTGTCCAGCTCTTCGGGCACGACACCGATTTTAAGGCAAAAAACCTTCAAAACTGTTTATCTTTTCGATCTTTTTCTTTTATTCCTTCGAAGTGTGAGGGCTCAGAACAACATCGACCACTACTAGAGATTTAATAGTCGTTTTCGATACAAGGGCGACAAACAAATTTTCGCCCTCGTATCGAACACTATTTTTTATACGAATGAAAGATTACACGAATAATAAAATGCGTCGATTTCATATTTAAAATTTTGTGGCAATGTCATTTTTTGAAATGTCATGTTTTGAAGTTTGTAATTAAGTTTAAGTACTTTCTCTCTGCATGACATTTGCGCTTCTTAAAAAGATCGTGTTTTACGTGTGACAACATCGCAAAAGTAGATAAGTAGGCAATTAAAACGATTATGAGACTGAACTTGTAACAAAGGTATAATTTACAAATTGTGAGTAAACTTGAAAATAGGATCAATAGTTGTTGATAAACCTACGCAATTCCTTAAAAAAGCATTTCGGTTATTTTTAAATAAGAATACTAAAAAATATATAATGACAGTGGCAAGTTCAAAGTGTCACATTTACTTTGTCGCACACTGTGCGGCAAAGTCCGTGCGTAAAAGTAAAACAAATGAGCGCCAAAGAAAAGTGCTTCTTTTTGATCAGCGCCTCTGTTCGCAAAGTGGCACTTTTTGATTCATTCGAGTAAAAATGTTTGCAGACTTCCGCGTCCATCGCTGTCAATGAAACCGACCCTCGAACTTACCGGTTGGCATTTGCCAAAGCAGACCCTGATGTTGCATTGGAATCGAATATTGTCGCTGCTGGGGAATTTGAACGCGTGGAAAGTGGCCAGCAGACTTTGAGTATCGGCGTTGTACTCCCAGTCGCCAAAAATGGACGGATCCGTAGCACAGCCGTTCTCATCGGTGACCAAATACTCGTTCTCCACGGCATCCTCCATTGTTTTGGCCACACAGCTCCTGGCAAAGCCCCCATAGATCGACCCGGGCTGGACATCGACCTGCAAAATAAGACTGTCGCCGATTTCTGCCGAGTTGATTTCCTGGCCGGTGGGCGTGACGATCTTCATCAGGCAGGTGGGAGGCGGGCCCGTATTCGCTATCGTTCCTGCTGTCGTCAGCATGGACACGTTGAAGCCCAGTGTGACGTTTTGCTCGCCGGTTTGGTAGACGCATTGAATGTGGTAGGCTTGCGCCTTGTAGGTGACCAGTTTCGGGTGTTTTTGGATCACCAGCACGAAGCTGGCTTTGCCCTGGAACAGAAACGCGCTGGTCAGTATGGGCTGCACCCCATCGGGTCTGCACCACACGTACATTCACATGGATCAGGCCGCAGTTGCCGAACTGCACCTTGAACAGTTCGGTTCTGATGTGGGAGCTGGCAGGCAGAGTGAGGACTCTTCGGCACTGCTCGTCCTTGCTGTGGCCTTTAACGTAGAGAACGCCATTGAAGCCTTCCTGTTCGTTCACGTCGATTTTCACTTGGACTCCATCGGATAGACAGCTGACTAGCATCTCCGGTTTGGGGAAGTCGGTGCGGAAGGCTATGCTGCCATCTAGGAAGAGGGTGCGTTTTGAGCCTGCTTCAACCAAACCGAGTGAAACTTACTGCAGTATTTATCAGGATTCCCAGAGTATCCGCTCACGCACTGGCAGATGGCCTGATGGTTTGTGGCGTTGCACAGCGCATAAACCCCACAGCGCTTGGTAGCGCACGGATTGTCGCAGGTTTTCGTCTCCAAGTTGCAGTATTTATGGTCGGGACAATCGTCGTTGGTTTCGCAGTCGGACACCTTTTCCCGGACGCAGTTGCCTCGCGCGTCCAGTCGATATCCATATTCCAGATGGCAGGCGCAGTTGCCGCGCTCATCAATGATGAAGCCCCGTTCCAGCGCGCAGACGCATCTACCGCGCTCATCAATGCGCAGCCCCTTATCGGCGCTGCAGGGGACGCAGTCGTCGTTGTTGTTGGGCGCAGTGTGGGGCGGGCACACGCATTCGCCCACTGCGTTGGTCACGTAGCCCTTGCTGCGGTTGCAATCCACTCCTGCTACCGGTTTTCCTGCACAAACACACCTAGTGTAAATAGATTTTCCCGAAAACTTTCCAAATCAATTTAAGTTGTGCAGAGTGGGCCAAAGTGGACACTTTCGACAGCAGATGCCCGAAAACTGATGGCTGCCCAATAGCGAATATAATAATAATAATAAGGCCGCAATGTACACGGAAGGAAAGCAATAACTTCAATAACTGGAACACTCTGGGACCAGCTGATATCGAAACTAGGCCTGGGTAACTCAGTGAGTTTTTAGGAGTTGGCGCAGTGCTGGGCTCGGTGCGCTGGGGCGACAAAGTGGGTTAAACTGTTACCGCCAAATAGACCGAACAGAGTCAAGAAGACGCTAATTTATACAACACGTGCTTGCATTTTGTGGGTGGTTTATTAGGCTTGTAATCGACAGGCTCTAAAATTAAGCTCCAAAGTGCGTTTTGAGTGTTTTATATCTGTGTTTTTAAAATAAATATTGTAAAAATGCCCTCTAAGTGCTGTGTCCCCAAGTGCAAAGGAAATTATAGTGGCGAATCAACAGTGAGTGTGTTCAGTTTCCTAAAAGACGATGGGTTGTTAAAATTGGCTGCGAGCAATAACTCGAGACAATTTTCAGCCCACGAAAAACAGCAGAATTTGTCAGAAAATCAGAAAAAACCGGTGAAATCCAAAGTTGCAACCCGGTTCGATTTCAACCATTTT